GGGGGGGGGGGGGGGGGAGAGATACATAAGAAACACAGCAAGAGAATGAGGAAGACGAGGCGCAAGACAAATGTACGTGAATCTTTGGAAGGTACAGTACCTTCAAGGGCAGACAGACGGACATCTTTGAGACCTACGTGTAAGGGAGAAAAGGGATGGCCTTCTAGGGCGTGATCTTTTTGCTTCGTTCAACGCTCGCCCCCCTATCTTCGAGGTAGGCCTAGGGCGATATGTTTCATGAAACAATGTGTCATAGGCTCCACCCGCCGAGATGTTCTTGGAGGGGACTAGGGTTGACGTCATGAGGGCCCGTTCGTTAGAACGGCAGCAAGTTTAATTCCCCCGGCTTCATGTCGCCGGCGGGTGTTGGTTGCACAACACGGAAGGGATCGTCGAACATTTACCGCTTTAAGTTGAAAGGAAGCCATGCAGGAGGAAAGGTTCTGGCTGTGCGCTGTTTGACCCCGGCTGTTACAATATTTGTTGAGTCTGCTACCCACGGGGGCCAAAATAACTGTGTGTTGCTCAAATAAAGGTGGTGACATACATTGGTATATTTGAGCTACAGATGAATCCGAGACTCGGAACAAAGTATGGAGGAAGGCGTCAGCACTTTGAACATGTTGATAAAAGCACACAGCTGATCATTCTCCTTTCTCCCTATCTTGATTACGAGAAAACACCGAGAAAAGTCAATTTTTGAGATGCCAGGTACGCGAGCGCCTCGTCCCCCGCGCCGGCACTTGCGCCCGCCGTGGTGCCCGCGCCCGCGATGCCGATATCGCATTGCCATCGATGCAGAACTGGAGTTGCTACACAACTCTACTTTATGTGACGGATGGCGAGCGATCAGTTGCCATACCCCGCTTGCCGCGTTGCCATATACCCCGCTTACAACCCTCCGTCTGCAGCAATCGAGTCGCTGTACTCTGCCGGCTGTGGCGGGTTACATGCTATCGGTTGCTATACTCCGCTCGCCGTGTTGCTGTACCCCGTTCGTTCAACCCTTTGTCTCGGTCCAGATATCGCAAATGCCATCGATGCCGAAATCGAGTTGCAATACTCTACCTGCCGTGACGGAGGCAAGCTATCAGTTGCTGTACTCCGCTTGCTATGTTGCTAAACACCCCACTCACACACCTCCGGCGATGCCGATATCTCAGTTGCCACCGACGTAGACATCGAGTCGCTATACTCTACATCATGTGACGGGGGCAAGCGATCAGTTGCTTACCCCGCTTGCCGGGTTACTATACACCCCGATTACAACACTCTGACGACGCGGGTATCGTCGTTGCCATCGTTGCCATCGATGCAGACATCGAGTTGCTATACTCTACCTGCTGTGACGGGTGGCGAGCTATCCGTCACGATACTCCGCTCGCCGTGTTTCTATCCAACCGGTCGCCCCGGTGGTCTAGTTGGTAACCTCGAAACTTTCTAGAGGTCAGGTCAGGGGTTCGAATCCCGGCGTAAGCGAGCTTATCTTGCAAAGTGAGTTTTTCTCTCGCTTCCGCTCCTGGCCTAGTGGATAGCGCTAGTTCGTGTGTACACAGAGGGAAGAGAGTGCTGAACTCTTCTCGCATTAAAAACCGAAGGCAAAGTACCGCAGGAGGGGAGGGTAGAGAGGGGCTCTTCTGTGTGACCACGGGTTGGAGTAAACGGCACTAGTGCCGTGAGCGCTGATTTGAAGTGAAAGACCAAAAAAAAAATACACCCCGCTCACACCCCTTCGGTAGATGCAGATATTGCAGTTTCCATTGATCTAGCTGTTATACTCTGCCCGCTGTGACGGGCGGCAAGCGGTCAGTTGCCATACTCCGCTTGCCGTGATGCTGTACACCCCGATTTCACCGCTCCGTCGATGCAGGCATCGCGCGCGCCATCGGTGTTGAACTCGACTCGCTAAACTCCGCCTACTATGACGGGTGGCAAGCTATAGGTTGCTTTACTCCGCCCGCCGTGTAGCTATTAAAGTTGATCTTGTGATGTTCGGTTTACCGTGTTGCTCCATACCCCTCTTACTCCCCCGTCGTCGCCAGATGCGTATACCCCTCCGTCTACGCACCATCGGCGCTGATCTGCTTCCGCTGCTGAAAGGGTGGCGAGTCTGCCGTCGCTATACACCGCTTCCCTGTTTGCTGTACACCGCGGGTCCGACGCTGCTAGACGCTCCGTCTGCACTCTTTTGTCTTACTGAATTGGAACTTCTTAACCCCGAACCCCGATTGCAGTTCGTTCGGGGCCAGTCGAAAGTCTGCTTGCCGGGTCGCTCAATACTGACTGTTGTTGCGGTGCTGGCCATTATCTTGCGGTCGACTTTCCCGGGCGCTCGCTCCTCTTCCCGTATCACAAGATGCTGCCGCGTCTACTCCACATCAAGCGCATCATCCGCAACTCGGAAATGACTGGGTCGTGGAACGACTTGGACGCCGCCATCCTCGCGGCCATCCAACTCACGACAGAACTCGGCCTCGCCGATGCTCAGCGCATCCTGTAGGGGACGTTGTACAGGAGGCGGAAGCTCCTCGGAGCATGCCACGACCCAGTCAGCGTTTTGCTTGTGTTCGCACGCAAGTTGCCCAACCACCAAGGGGTGGATACCGACACAATCGTGGGCGACCTGCAGGAGCTGAAGATAGTGCGAAAAATGAACGGGCGTCACCTCTGGGCTCGCCTGGGCTTGGTGGTGACGCCCGTTTATCTTCCGCACGAGCTTGAGCTCCTCAAGGTCGCCAAGACGGGTGTCGGAGTCCACCCCTTGGTGGTTAGGTAATTTGCGTGAACACAAACAGGACACTGACGGGGTCGCGGCACGCTTCAAGGAGCTTTCGGCCCCGGTGCAGCGTCCCCTGAAGGGTCCGCAGAGCAGGTCCATGGGCGGCGCCGCGATAGAGGAGATCATGCAGGTTCGGGGTTGGAAAACGGAGTCCATCGCGAAGTACTATGTTGAACCCTTCTCCGCTCGGGAGCGGGCGGCCAACTACACGGCCACCAAAGAGGCATCGTTGTCTCCGGCCTTCGAAGCAGACTTTGCAGCGTGTGCCCGCCGGAGGAAGCGCTAATGTACTTATTAAAATTCACGAAAGTTTGGGTGATCATCCAGGCTCCAGGTCAGTGGTCAAACAGAAGACTCAAAACAGGAAACGTTGGGTGGGACCACAGGCCGGATCTGGAGGCCTCATCCAAAATCCAATACTTTCATTAAATGATCCTAGGCTAAGAGCAAAATACAACAGAGGCCGTGTACACTACTGCTGTAGGATTCTTCGCGATCTATCCATACCCTACATTTCTGGCCAACGGCGGAGTGTACCTGCAGCGTACCTGGTACATGCCGATGTTTGGTTTCTGCCAGATTTTTTCTGCCCACTGCTGTATCGTAGATCCAGATATGCGAGCAACACAAGCTAGTCGATACCGCCATTCCTCGAATGCCGAAACAAAGACGTGTGTAAGTGTGAGCATTCCCTCTCCTTGCCACAGAAAAATGCAACACGATGCTGCTGGGTTGATGCAATAATACTGCTGTACTGCGGAACTGCGGATTGACGTCACACACGTCACGCAGCCCAGATCTCCTAATACGAGAGTCGCGATGTACTGCCCTCACCATCCACCATGGCATTGAGAAGCTTGGAGACCTTGATTGCCGAGGCCTCAACTACGAAGCCGTCCCCGTCCATCGATACAAGCGTCACAGCACCGCTGCTGGCGTCGCCCGTGTCGGTTCTAGTCGTCCTGGCGCTACCGGCCGCGCCATCGGATGACGTCGTCTTCTGGACTCGTGAGGAAGATCCTGACTCGGTTGCCATCGCTTGCGGCAAGCACTGCTGTCCTCGCTGGCTGTCCGTGCTTCTCTACCCTCTCACACCTTGGATCGGGGTGGTGTTTGCTGTACTCTACCTACCACGCTCCGCTCCTCTGGAGGTGCTGGATGCGGCGCAATGACGGCCAACAACCCGCCTTCCGAAGAGTCACAAGAGGTCTGGGAGGCGGTTGCACACAGGGATTTCGCTTCCTGTTTCTTCAGCAGCAATCCTGCGTATGCAAATGATAATATACAATGTGCTCTCGGCCGGTGGCTGGTAGCCTGTTCGTAGGGTCTTCTTTCGCGCAGGCCGATCCCTTGCCTGCGTCCATTGGTAGGAGCGGAAACTGATTTCCGCCGAGAAAACGGCTGGAAGGGTCCCATCACGCACCGCCAAGTCAAGGAACATTTCCATTTCCGAGAATCAGGGAACGGTTCCGGAGAAGGTTGTACTTGCCGCGGTAGGGTTACCCTCGGGCTTTTATTAGAGGTTTTGTGACAGAGGGTCAAAGTGGGCGTCGACACATCAGCGAGTCTCATTCAACGTTGATGATAAAGTGTGTCGCTTATTCCAAAACAGAACTTGGCGAGACCCCACAGATTCCGAGATCATCCTCATTCGGGATGGGAGTCGTCTACAGTCAGGATGAGGGAAAGACATGGCAACTCTCGTTATATTTCAACATTCTGGCGTTCGACGCCGCAGGGCAAGGCTGCATCGATTTGTACACAGCAATATCAGAGAACAACAGGGCAAGCTTTCCCATCTCATCAACACAGAGGGTCCGCCAAAACCTGACCTTACCCCATCTGCCCTGGTTCTTCCCCAGAGTCTTGGCCCTTTTTACAGTTCTTACCAAGCGACTACCCCCCCCAACGGGAGGACAGCAGTAATAGTAGAGCAATGCAAGTTTTGGTAAGGAACCATGGTATCGTTCCCCCCACCTACAGTAGACCATTCGGTCGTCCAGCGACAACCCCCGGACTATTTCGCCCATAAACTCCGTCCAACAATCGGTTCGAAACCACCCCAATCTGAATCCCTTGCTATTTGGCATCCTCTGTGCTACCCATAGCATCCTCCCCTACTTGGCTAATGGTATAACTGCTTATACCTGCAGAACATTAGTACCGCCCCCCAATGCCTAACGACTACGGCATGCGTCTACATAATTACACCCGACTGCGGCAAGCGTTTACATTAGTAAGCCCCCCCCCGCCATCTAAACCCGTCTACGCTTGGCCGGTTTCTTACTAGCGGGTCCAGCCTCGGCACCCCCCCCCCCAGCAACCAAATCAGCAGGCCACGACATCTTCTGGCGCAAGATGCACAGGAAGAGCATCTCCGGGAGGTAGGCCTTGCCGTTGCGGCCGGCTGCGGCGGCGGCGCGAGACTTCGCTCCCTTCGCCCCGGCGGCTTTGAGGGCGTCCGGGTGGGATATAACCAGGAGGGACTCGGGCTCGGGCCCTCCGCGCTGCCGCAGAGAGTGACAGTTGGCGTACAAAGCGCGGGCGGGGGGGTTACTCCTGTAAACGCATGCTGCAATCGTTCGATCATAGACCTCGGAGAGGGAGGAGTACTCATGTTTTGGATGCCTTTGTCTGATAACCCGTTGACCACGCGTCCACGAGAGTGCGGAGCATTGTTCCCACAGGGCCGAGAACGGGGGGAGGGATACTCAGCCGTGCATGACGTAAACGGTAGACCATTGACCTCGCATTCCTGCAAAGCCGGGAAGGAGCACGCCGGGTTCTCACCGGGCCGGCGAAGGGGGGATCAAATGTGACTTTCCCGCAGTCTGGTGATAGACCGCAACTAACAAATCTGAATGGAAATCGAGCCCGGCAGTGGGCCAGGTAACTCTGTTCCTAGAGCGGTCGTTAGACGAAGCACTGTAGTTATTCTCGCTTATATCGACACCACCAGACTTTGGGCGGTCCCTTCGCTACCCAGACTGCGACCATGATGACGACGGCGACGACCAACAGCAGCTTCACGACGACGACCTCAACAGCAACACGCAACGACGAAATACCTTTGGAAGTTGAGGCAACCACTGTCCTCCGGCGGAGATGACGACCATCTCCATCTCTTCCAGGGGGGGACACCCCATACCCTTGACGCCCGCCTGCCACGCACAGCAAGCAAAGACACAAATACACGCATGCACACAGCAGTATGTGTGAAACTCTTGGCGTAGAAGCAACAAAAAATGTGCAAGGGAGAAAAAATACACAACCTCGGCCGTGGTTCGCAAAAAACAAGATAGCTGACTTGAAGTACATCTCCGCAACAAACACAAAGACAGCAAGAAAAACGCGTCCCCAATCAAGTTATCGCTGTCCTCGTGGCACGCCAGGTGGGACGACCACCCAACCAGCGCTACGTTTACTCGAACGCACGAGTCCAAAACGAGTAGACAGCATAACCCCCCGAAGTGCACACACGCCGATCGTGTTACAACTATACCCGTTGACACCCTCTTTTTGCTATGATTCGCGCGAAAGCACACACACGCCGATCGTGCTACAGTGCAACTTTCCCATTTTCGCCAACACCTTACTGTTGCTGTGATTCGCGGGAAAAGACGGGTATGTAACCACCACGACGGAGTCGACACAGAAAATGTTCGAAGCCACCAACACCTTGGAGGCAGCAAGCAAGCAAGCCCGCCAATGAATCGTTTGATGACTCTACCAAAGGCCGACAAGATAGTGAAGCAGCCGCATCGATTGTCCAAGCTCCATGTCTCAAGGTCCGGGGTTTTTAGTTGTTATTACCAAACGACGTTGCGACTTCGGATCTCTCTGTCTCTCTGTCTCTCTCTCTCTCTCTCTTCACATCTTTGTCGGTCTGTCTCTTTCTCTCCCTCCCTATCTTTCTTTCTCTCTCGACACACTACCCAAGCCAGGAAGCCATTTGCAAAGACACCGAGCATGAGCTGGGGACACTTATCTATATCTCTACACCCGAAACCGCCCCGACTCTCACCAACATCCAAACCAACAATACCCCATCAGAACACCGATAACATCAGCACAGCACACCTGACTCACCACGCATGGATCGACGTGCACGGAGAGGCCTGAAAGCAGACCCGCTTCGGGCCTTCGCCCCAGGGACACCCGCATATTGAAGCCCCACTTCTTTTCCGCCTGCGTTTAGAAACAGCAACAGTGACCGGCGACCCGGGCCCGTTTGAGGAGGTCAACCAAGGCTTATTCGGCGAAAACATGTCATGCGACCACATGTTGGTTTGCCTTGGGGGTTTGTCTCTCTGTGTACCACGGTACGTTCGTAGTCAAGTCTTGGACTGACGACCCAGAGTACACATGTCACCCCTCCCCGACGTTCAGACGGAGAGAGGAGAGAGAGAGACAGAGAGCGAAAGAGAGACAGATAGAAAATGTGCCCGCACTTCTCTGATTGGTCCGTCTTTTCTTGAAAGACTACTTCCGTGTGGGGAATCTGATCGAGCGGCTGTGTCACCCAGGGTGGTCACGTCCCTACTGTGGGACTCTACAACTTTTCCGCTCAGCACGCCAACATCCTGAGCAAGCTAAACTACCGAAATCATGTCATGACAAGGGGCGTTCGAACCCTTTTGACCTGCATTCAATAGCTAGAGAGAAGCGTTATCCGCACGAGCCACGAACGATTGGAGTTCCTCTTCGTCGGGTAAAGAAGTATGTAGCTTGCAAGAACGCGCATTGGGAGAATCACTAGCCTTCGTTCCTCAAAGATAACATCTCGTTGGGACGGTGGGCGAAGAATCCAACCACCTAAAAAGATGAACAACAACAACAACACCAACACCGACAGTCATCGTCAAGAACAACGTCAACTAAATGTGCAAACGAAAAATGTCTACCTCGGCATCGTAACGACGGCATGGGGCCAAAACAGTCAAAACCAAACAAACGCAGCAGCAACAACAATTCCCACGACATACCTCAGCATCACAGAGGACGTACTCCACTCCATCCAGCAGCTTCCCATCCTTGGCGCTTTGATACAACCACTCCACGTCCACCACGAAGCGGCAGCGACCCAGCCCCGCCAGGAGTTTGGGTGTACGTTTTAGCGAGACTCCGCTGCCCCCAGCGACTAAATGCGTGGCTTCGAGCACGGATTCCACCTTGGTTAGGCGGCGTTGGGCATAGCCGGGGGGGAGGGCGGGTTGGGTTGGGCTCAATCCAGCTTTACGTTATTTGGCGTTGGGCATAGCCGTGGCGTGGCACGGAGGGGAGGGAAAACATTGCAGGCAGGCGGTGATCGGTTTGTTCATGTGCCCGTCGTCCATTGGCGCAGCAGCAGCAGCAGCAGCAGCTGTAGCAGCAGTTTGCATCCCCTACCTCAGACACCCCCAGCTTCTTCATGCACGACCGCTCCTTAGGCGTTGGCTTCACGCCGGTGAAACAAACCTTCCACGGCACGAGTCAACAAACACGACGAAGGCAGATGCCACAGACGAGTGAGAAGCGGCATGACTTCTCCGAGCATCACATCATCTCCGCACAGGCATGCACATCCACAACACCTACAGCACCTATAGCTCGGCCGTACTCTTGGAAGAGAACGGAGCAAAAGAGCTGTAAAATCGAAGGCACAACCTGTTTGTTTTATTGTTTGTTTTTCTCCCATCATTGGACTCTGTCGTCTGCCCCTCTGGTCCCTATCCTCCACTTCTACCAGCTAGACGACCCAACCGGGGACACACAGGAGGGGGGGGTTGGACCCCCTCCTGCGGTTCTTGCCTGAGACATGTGTGCCCGTATTTCTTCCCGTGGTTTGGCGGCAGAGACAACGCAAGTTGCGAAATTTACACAGCATGCGATATCACAGGATGCCGGTGATAGCAGCTACATACAATAATAACACCGCTCTGCACAGGCAAGGACACAACAGTACTTGAAAACGCAGCCAAGTTGGGAAACGTGCATGTGGCGGCGAACAAGACCCCCCCATAACAGGACTCCTCAAGTGTACTGAAGTATCGAGGAATCAAAGCATGAAACAGGAAAAAGACGACGCGAGCAAAAATCCACAAACGAGATGCACACGCCCGCCACCTTTACATCGCAGGAGCTCTCGCTGTCGACCCCTCCTCCGCCGCTCGCCGAACGGCTTGCTACCGTCGGGGTTGGCGGAGATGACTTCGCACCCCTTCCCCGGCTGCTAACCTTGGCAGGACTTCGCGGGGTGGTTTCTTCTTGTTCTTCTTCCTCCGCAGCCGCCGCCGCTGCCGCTGCCGCCGCCGCTGAGGGACGGCCCCTGCCGCGCTTCGAAGGCGTCGCCGGTGCGACGGGCGCCGGCTTGCTATCCGTCCCCTTCTTCGCTGTGCTGCTCTTCCTTCTCCGTCCTCGGCCGGCGGTTGTCGCCGCCGTCGCCGACGCAGACGCGACATCGTCTTCGTCGGTCCCGTCCGCTTGTGGAGAGGAAGGCACGCCTGCCTCTTCCGCCTTCCGTTTTCTCGCACCCGTCGAGTTCTTGCCTTTCCCGCCCGCCTTCCCCTGACGACTTTGGGCCCAGGCACCGTCGCTCTCCTCAGCGCTCAGCTCAGCGTCCTCTGCCGCCTTCCGCTTCTTGCCAACTCCCGCCACCGCCACGGCTTTGCCCTTCCCTTTGCCCCTCGCCTGCGAACAGCCTCTGGCTGTACCCCTCGTGGCTTTTGTCGTGGCAGCGGCGTCCTCCTGGCTGGGCTCCGATTCCTTCGCCGCACGCCCCCGCCCCCTCGCCCTCTTGCCCGCCGTCACCGCGGACGCCGGCTCCTCTTGGGGCTCCGCGTCATCACCTTTGTCGTCCCCGAGGGACGTGCTGGCCGCAGCCGCAGTGCGAGACGATCTCCTCCCACGCTTCGCCGCCGGCGGGGCGGGGGCCGACGCAGCCGTCCCGCCCTTCCCGTCCCCCCGTGCTGTCCCTTCCGTCTCCGACAAGGAGACTTCTTCTGCTTCCTCCGTTCTTCGCCGCTTGCCGCGTCGATTTGACGAGTCCTCGTTCGCCTGCTGCTCTGGAGCCGCCACCGCCGCCGGTTCTGACGCGACACCGCCGGGTGATTTCTTCCCGCCTCGGCCCCGCCGTCCCGCTGGCGCCGGCGGGGCCGGTTCTTGTTCTCCCTCTGGTAGAACTTCCGGGTGCGACGCAGACGCAGCGGCTCGTCGTGTGCCCGCCCTTCCACCTACTGCCCGCGGCGTAGTGTTGTTTGTTGCCTGCTCCTTCAACCCCTTGCTAGTTGAGCCTTCTGGTGCGTCTACGGTCGAGACGTCCTTGAGCGTCCGTTTCCGCCGCCCGCTCGTCCTCGTTGGTGCGGGTGCGGCAGCTGCTGAGGCAGCCCCGGGTGTGTCCTTCTCGTCCTCCACGTCTCGCTCTGCCTCCTTCCCGTCTGTTTCTCCCTCTCCCTCCCCCTCCCCCTCTCTCGCTCCTCCGCCATCTCTGTCGTCTCCCTCCCCCTCTCTCCCTCCCTCTCCCTCTTCCTCCGCTCCCATCTTCTCTAAGCTCCGTTCCTCCTCCTTGCTCCCCCGCGACCCTTTCTGCTCCCGCTGCTGGCCCTCTCCGTGACCATCACTCCCCGCCTGATCCCCTTCCTCCTCTCCACCAGCGGGATCCTCCACGACCTTTTTGCCGGCGTCACCCGCCTCTATCGGGGGCTCAACGCCGACCTCCTCCTCCTCTTCCTCGGGCAGCGCCTTCCCCCGCGGTTCGTTTCCATCAGCTTGCGCCTTGCTCGGCGACAACGCCGAGGTATCTGGGGTCAAAAACTCGTCCTGTTGCGGGGGGGAGTCGCCCTCCTCTACAACCTCCGTCCCGTCCCCCGCTTCCTCCTCCTCCTCCTCCTTCTCCTCCTCCTCTTCCTCATCCTCTTCTTCGTCCTCTTCCAGTTGCACAGGAACGGCTTGGGTTGCTGCCTCACCGGTACCGTTGTCCACCTCCGTTTCACCCTGCTCCTGCTCCTGCTCCTCCTCCTCTTCCTCTGACTCCTCCTCCTCTGACTCCTGATTCATGGCCGCCGCCAGCGCCTCGCTCCTCGCGTGCTCCCTAGCGATGGCCATCATGGAGTCTTCCGTCGACACCCGCCGGAGCAGGGAGCCCCCCGGCGACCGGGCGTCCTCCTGGGCGGGAGGCTGTTGCCCCCGCCGCCCCTGGCGCTCCCCTTTGCTGGCATCGACACCACCCGCATTCGCATCTGACCCCGAGGAGGCACCGGGTGATGCCCCCCCGCTGCTCACGGTAGTACCTTCTGCAGGCTCCGGCGGGGCCCCCATGGCACTGCTACTTCTTGTGCCGCCGCCGGCGGAAGCGTTCTCCTCAACCGCGGGGGGGTCAGGGACGTTCTCTGTCCGCCCAGCGGCGAGAGGGCCCTCATCCGTGTCAACCTCGGTGGCGTCCGTCTCCGAGCCCGAATTTCCGTCGCCGTCGGCCGCTGCCGCCGCCTCCGCCCCGGCACCCCCCCTCCCACCGCCGTCCCCGTCGCCGCCAGTCTCCGCCGGCTCCGCCGCCCCGGCGTCAAGCAGATCGTCTTCGAAACCGTCGAGGTCGTCCTCCGCGGGGAGCAACGCCCCCGACACCTCGCTTCCGTCGTCGTCGTCGTCGTCGTCGTCGTCGTCGTCGTCGTCGTCATCGTCGCTGCCTTCCTCCCGCTTTGCCGGCCCCGCATCGTTGCTGATGTCGTCGTCCACCCCTCCGGTTTCACGCGCCCCTCCCGGAGAATCCCCACCAGGCGGCGGCCGGCCTCCCTCGGCTGCGCCAGGTTCTTGCTGCTGCCGATGCTCCTCGCCGCCTCGTAACGGAGCCCTCGGCGACTCCTGCCTCTGCGTCGACACGTCGGACACGTTCCCGGGGGAGGTCACCGATCTGCCGGTGATATCGGGCAGCGTGGACGGCGTCATCGGGGTCCCGCTAAGCCCCGCCGTCGCGCTGGGGCCCGGCGACCTCGGGGCGGCCGCCGGCAAGCATGCGCCCCCACCAGCAGCAGTGTCGCTGCCGCCGCCGCCGGCGTCAGTGACGGCCTTCGCCATCGCGCCATCGGCGTCGTCGTCGAAGAGGAGCGCGGTGTCGCCTTCGTCTGCGGTGTCGTCCCCGCTGTTCTCTTCGCCAGCGGGGCCGGCGGCGGCGGCTGCGCCGGCGGCCCTCGCCTTCACATTGCCGTCCCCTTCTTCGTCCGATTTCTCGAAGAGAAGAGCGGCGTCACCTTCGTCTGCGGTGTCGCCGTCGGTGTCCGCGTGGGCCGGGGGGTCCGTGGGGACAACCTCCGCATCGGCACCACCACCGTCCCCGGGCGGAGCAGCACTAGCAGCGGTTTCTTCGGTAGCACCCCGAGGGTCGGCAGGGACAGCAGCATCACCATCATCTTGGCTATTTCCTGCTTCCTCAGCGTTCGCCCCCCCCTTCCCCTTGCCTCCTTCGCTGTTGTCGAGCTCAAGCGCCATGGCGGCTGAACTCCCAGAACCTCGCTCTGTGGCTGCCTTGGCGTCATCCCCCTCCCGCTCTTTATCGTTGTCGCCGCTGTCATCCAGCAGCTCAAGGGCCATGGCTTGCGTCGGCTGCTCGGCATCGTCATCGCCCGTGCCACCACTAACAGCGCCGCCACCGCCGCTCAAATTCGCAGGCGCTTCTTCGAAGCGCACGCGAGAGGGCGACCTTGGCTTCGCCCCGCCATCAGAAGCACACCCTTCTCCCTTCGTCTCCTCGACGCCTTGATCTTGCCGGCTCCGGTCAACCCCAGCACCCCGCCCAGGCTCTGATGCATCCGTCCCGGCCAGTGGAATTCCCGCCTCGGCTTCCGACTTTCCCTCTTCCTCCGCCCCCGACAGTGGCTCGGTGTCGCTCTTCTTGCCGTCCGCCGCCGCATCCTCCTCAGCACCAGCACCCGCTTCGGCCTTTCCTTCTTCTTCTTCGTCGTCGCCCAAGTCGATCACCCCGGGAATCTGGGTATCGTTGTCGTAAACACCGTCCTTTTCTTCCTCGGCCAAGGCGCCAGGCTCCGGGAGAGGCCCCATGGCCACCTGGGATGGAAACAATGACGGGCGGCGGTGGCCCATGGTTGTCTGTCCGTCTGTCTGTCTGTCTGTAGCTCAGACTCGACTTGCGCGTGGTAGGCTTCAATGCTATGCCGATCTGTCTCTGACGATCGCTTATATCTTACGTGTAACTCGTAGCAGTGAGACAGACGGTTTCAGATTGTCTCGAGATACAGTACTCCATTCCCGTGGTAAAAGGTGGTTACTTTCACGTGCTACTACTAAAAATTAGGGATACACATAAAGCTAGGCGCCTCATACCTTGCAAGCGGCCCCGCCGAAGTGAATCCGGCATCCCTCTTCCGGCAGCATCGTGGCCTTCTTAGGGGCGAGGCGTGTCTTATCGCCCGTTTCGGTGTCGATAATGTACGTGCCGTTGGGGCTGCGGAGGTCCTGTCCACAGGAGTAACAAAGAAACAGGGCGGATAATCGATCGACCAGCGAAGAAGGCAAG